AATTGTGGTCAATGTCATGAGACAAAGTGTATGTGAACTGCTATACGGAAAGTGAATTTGCTCTGTAAATCTTCACCCAAATCACAATTAAAAAAAAAACAAAAACAACTAATTAGTTTGTGTTCTTAGTCAAACTGTTACACATTATCATAGGTTTTCACATATAGAATATAAACATTAATAATTACTAAGCCAAAAACAAACACCAACAAGCAAAGGATCTGCATAGTTTCATGATTCTTACCTGTTCACTCTCCTAGGACACTTGTCTGGTTTAATATCCACCTCATAGAGGTAGACATCAATCTTTGGAATTTCAACTTGAAAACAGTTAGCCAGCAGTTTAATGGGTTTGCCCATGGTGCCATAGCCAGGTCGTCTGGGCACCATGAGTAGGGGCTGGGCCCCAACGGGTCCTGCCAAGGAAGGAGAAAAGGGTTAACATTGTTATAAACTGAGTTTGATAATCTTATCAACTGGAGTATGTTAGAATTATAAGTACAGCTGATAAATAGTTGAAGCCCAGTAGTAAAAGACATCAATCCTAACACTTAAACTTCCTTCATCCATTTCCTTTCTTCATTTTCTAAAAAACCATAAAAACAAAAAACAAAACAAAACAAATAAATCCAAAAATCTATTATCTCTGGAAAACTGTTTTGGAATAAGGTAGAGAGAAGAGAGAATGATAATGGAAGCCCAAGTAAGCATAAGAAAACACAAGACAGACCTATAGAGTATGAGACCAATGGCAAAGTAAATGGAAGGAAATGATAAAGTGCAAAAATGAACAAAACAAAAAGAATATACAGTAAAAATGATTATTTGAAAAGATAAACAAACTGATAACCTTTAGACGAGATTGTTTAAAAATGAGAAAAAAAGTATAAATAACCGGTATTAAAAGTGAAAAAAAATGACAATACTATAGATAATGAATTTACTGTGTCAATGTATTTGAATATATGAAACAGACAAATTCCTTGAGAATATAACTTACACACAAAAGTTTATAAAATATGAAAAGTTCTATAACTATTTTAAAAAATTAAATCCACAATTTAAAAGTATTTCCACACACACAAAAAGGATTCCAGGTACGAACAGCTTCACTAGAATTGCACCAATCATTTAAGAAAAAATACTACTAATACCAATCTTATAAAAACTTGTCCAGAGAACAGGAAACAGTAACAAATCCTAATTCAACTTATGGTGCCTAAAAAAACCCTGACAGTGGTGTATAAGGTGAACATTCACATGAGGTAGGTTCACTCCTTAGAATAATCAACCATGGGAGATGAGAAGGGCAGTATTTGTACAGGGCGAAGGCTCAGAGAGCAGGAATGCATAGGAAAGAAGGACACAGGTAAAAGATACCAGAGGGAGGAAGTGGGAAGAGAGCAGCAATCAATATTATGAAACAAAAGGTGTATGAAATGTATGGAAAATTAATTTGCTCTGTAAACTTATACCCAAATCACAATTCAAAGAAAATTGAAAAATCCCAACACTGAAATGTGACAAGGACATTAAAATAATGCACTCACAGAAATAACGTGCACACGCCTATAACATTCATAGAATGCACAGGAAACTAACATGTGAGGGAGCCGTGCAGTTTGGAAAAAACTGTACAAGCATACTATTTCCATAAAATATGGCATACATATGTAGGTGTGGGCACCTTAGAGACCAAGGAACAGAAGGAATGTTCCTTAATCTGATAAAAGTTCCCTGCAAACAACCTACAGCAAATAACATATTAATGATGAAATGTTGAAAGCTTTCTCCCTGAGACTGGGTATGAGACAATGTCGCTTGTTATCACCACTCCTATTCAACACTGTCCTGTAGGTGCTAGCCAGAAAGTGAGGCAAGAAAAAGAAATAAGTACAGTAAAATCTGGGAAAGCCAGAACCTGTATAAAGTGGAAATCTGTCAGAGGGAAAACACATATATGTTCCACTAAAATGAGAGAAAAGTGGTAAGACTGCACCATGTTAAAGGTAGAAAACTTTCAAGACCCCAGAAAACAAGGCAGTTCCATTATAAGGTTTTGAAAAGGAAACCTGTCATTACAGAAGAATCTACAAATAAATAGAACTAATAAGTAGTACAACTATGTGCACTGCAGCACTGTTTACAAGAGCAAAAAAGGTAAAAAAAAAAAAAAAAAAACCCAAGTGCACATCAACAGATGAACAGATAAACAAAATGTGATACATATACACAGTGAAATATTATTCAGACTTAAGGAGCTTTGGTCATGCAGTGGTTAAGACATTTGGTTGCTAACCAAAAAAGGTAGGCAGTTAAAACCCACCAGCCACTCCGTGGGAGGAAAATGAGGCAGTATGCTTCTGTAAAGATTTCCAACCTTAGAAACCCTATAGGGCAGTTCTACTCCATCCTAAAGGGTCCCTATGAGATAGAATCAACTCGACAGCAGTGGGTTTGGGTTAGGTTTTTGTTCTGCCTTAAAGATAAATAAAGTCTCGATACATGCTATATAACATGGATGAATTTTGAAGACATTATGCTGAGTAAAATAAATCAATCAGAAAGAATAAATATTGCATGGTCTCATTCATATGAAGTGACAGAAGAATAGGTAATTACATAGAGACCCGAGGTTACAGAGGTGGGAGAGAGAAGGGAAAAGGGAAATCTTTCTCTGGGAGGTAATGAATTTTTGTTTATGGTGATGGAAAACTAGCATGAACTAAGGGTAATGGTTATATAACCTGACTAATGTAGTTGTTATCACTAAGCTGTACACCAAGGGAAAAAAAAAAAAGTGAAATGGTAAGCAATAGTGTTATATATACTTTTGCAACTTCAGCAGTAGTGGCCCCCTTCTCCCTCCCAAAAAAACGCTGCAGCTGTTGACACTACTTGTCATTGTTGTTATGTGCTGTCGAGTCTGACCCGACTCATAGCAACCCCTCCTCCTTGGGTTTCTGAGGCAGTATCACTACAGAAGTAGATTGCCCCATCTTCCTTCCGAGGAGTGGCTGGTGGGTTTGAACCACCAGCCTTCTGGTTAGCAGTCAAGTGCCTTAGGCACTATGCTAAGAGAGCTCCTTAGGTACAATTAAATACCTTGTGGCATTAATTTCTTGGTTCACAGGTTTAGGGTGATGGTTTCATGGGTCTATCCAGTCAACTGGCCTAATGTTGTCTTTAGAGTTTGTATTCTATCTCCTAGTTCAGGGTGTAGTGCTCAGCATCTTAAAAGCTTGCCAGCAGCCACCCAAAATACAACTATTGGTCTCTATGCTCCTGGAGCAACAGAAGAAGGAGACTCAGAAATCAGAGAAGGAAATGACTGCAGGTTTAATTGCCTCCATGAACTACTATCTCCTTTGCCATGAGACCAGAAGAAATGAACAATGTTTGGCTACCATTACTGAATGTTTTAATTATTATTGTTGTTAGGTGCCGTCGAGTTGCCTCCAACTCATAGCAACCCTATGAACAACAAAACAAAACACTGCCCAGTCCTGTGCCATCCTCACAATCCTTGCTACACTTGAGCCATCATTACAGCCACTTTGTCAATTTAGCTCATTAAGCATCTTCCCCTTTTACACTGATCCTCTACTTTACCATGCCTGATACTCTTCTCCAGGGAATGGTTCCTTCTGACAACATGACCAAAGTAGATGGGATGAAGTCTGACCATTCTCACTTCTAAGTAGTATTCTGTCTGCGCTTCCTCCAGCACAGATTTGTTTGTTCTTCTGGCAGTCCACGGTATTTTTTGTATTCTTCACCAACACAACTCAAAGGCATCAACTCTTCTTTGGTCTTCCTTATTCACTGTCTGCGCATATGAGGTGACTAAGAATACAACAGCTTGGGTTAGGCGCACCTTAGTCTTCAAAGTGACACCTTTACTGAATGTTTTGATTAAGGACTCAGTATATGGATTCTGATCAAAAGGAGGAAGAGTGTGGACTAGAACTTCCAATTCATATGGGAATCAGACTACTAGATCCACTGAGACTGGGGGAACCCCCTAATCTATTGCCTGGTACACAAAGGACATGGGGGCTGCATCTTCCAACCTCCTCTAAATTCACAAGAAGGAAAAGGTCAAGATTCACCACAAGCAGCACAATGCCGATTCCTACTAGGTAGAGGTCAGAGACATGCAGCCACCTTCCAACCATTTCGCCAATTCTAACACTAACCATCCCTCCCACTGCACATTATACTTCTCTGCTGGGTTCAATAATTCACTGCAATGGCCACATACAACTCACAGACTATACTCACAATTGGGTTTATTAGGAAAGTAACAGGTTATAATTCAGGTTCAGGAATGCTCAGGATACAATTCTTCGATCAGGAGAGCCTCCTGTCAGCATGGCTGTACAGGCACACCTCTCTTTGGCCCTTGGCCTCTTGGCCTGGCCTCTGCGCTGCTTAGGCAAGTGTTAAAAAGTCTGTTTCGCTCTACTGATAGGTGCACCCCACTCCACCAGCAAGCCTCCTGCATGAAGGCATTAGCTTTCTCGCTCCATGGGTTGTCAGTTCTCATGTTGGTCTCTAGGTTCTGTTGGTTCTGCTGCCATCTCTCTGCTGTTTCAGTGCAGAGATACTGGGTCCAAGGACATGTTCCACTCCTGGCTGCTCTTTCTTGATGGTAGTAAGATCCCCTGTTTCCGCCTCCTGAGATGGTTCATTTTAAGCCTAGCAGAATGGCAAAACTGACCAATCCCCACACTAGGGTTCTGTACACTTTATTTGCATGGTCCCACCCCACAAGTGTGCCATGTACCTTATTTACATTACTAACAAGCTATCCAATCCTCTTGGTGGGCCACAAGACCTCACATTTACATAGTCCCAGCCAGTCATTTGGTGGGGATTACGAAGACCACGACTAGAAGAGCCATATAAGTATCCATTGCACCACAGCTGCAAATAAATTTTAAACCTTGAACTAAACTATCTCATAAAGTCCTCTTTAAGATGAACAACAAATTAGCTCAATTAATGAAGAATGTTTGCCTTGAGCATTGAACTCTTTTAAGGAATTATATATATGAGATCAAATGGACAACAGTAACTCTGAAACACAGATGTGAACTTTAAGGGGCAGACGATCTAAGTTAATGGTGGTAAAACAACATGGAGAGAGATAGTATGGTGACAAAATGTGACATATGTAACCAATGTCATAGAAATATACACACAGAAATTGTTGAATAATGTATGTTTTATTGTATATATTCCCACCAAAAAAATTAATAACTGAATTTAGTAAGTCTGCTAGGTAGAAGCAGAATATATATATATA